GGGTGGTGGTACTCAAGCGTTCGGTGAGGAAAAGAGCTAGATTACAGTGTATTTAGTACCTAGAAATGGTTTGTTGGTGCTGCAAGACATCTCCCAGACGGCTCAGCCAGGGATGAAGTCCTTGTGCCCTGCTAGAACCTGGCAGGGTTTTGGTGAGGATGGAAAAACTCTGAGATGGAAACTATCCGGGCGTTTCTTCTTGGCTGGGTAGCAAGTGATTCAGCAGGGTTGGCAGGGAGCACTCCAGATGACTTGTCTCTGTGGGAAAACTCCGAAATTTGAGTTTTCATTGGGATTTAGGGAGAAAACTTTAAATCTCAGAATTTCCCACAGACCAGAAGTTATATATAAGGACAGTAACTTCTGTGTGTATTTTTTTTCCCCTAAGAGCGCCCTGGCTTGTTCTTGCGATAAAGGCCATGTTCGGTTGTGAACTGCTGTTGTCACAGGTATTAATGTATTTTTCCTGCTCACGGCTGATTCTACATCCAGAGGACACATTTGGCACAGCCAAAGGGAAAAAGCTGGATGAGGATGGACAAAACAGGAGGTGCTTCCCCAAGATAGGCTGGCTCTGCTCTTACCAGTCTAAGCAGAAAACTTCCTCTGCCAGGAGAAAAACCCCTCGTACGACTGCTATATGTCACAACTGATGGTTAAAACCCTTGCAGAGCTCAGGCAGTGTCCTGCGCTGGCCATTAAGACCCTCCTAGCCCATCAGTCCAGCCCTCTTGGCTCGGACCAGACATCGAGCAATACAACTCTCACCCGCTCACCACATCTCCATCATAAGTCTCTTCCCTTATGGGGTTTTTTTTTTGGGGGGGTCTCTCCTTTAGGCAAGCCTTTATCCCCTAGATCCAGCAGGACCCTGCATTTGCTGCAGCGGGCGCCCACCCTCCCCATTCCATGAGTGGGATGTAAAAGGGAATGCTGAGATAAGGAGGACTCAATGAACTTCAAGTGATGCTTTATTGTCTCACAAGCATGAATGATCCAAGCAGTCAGAAAGCAGACAGAGCCCAATTTCTAGAAGCAACTCGCTCTGAGTTTTACGTGGGTCGTGCATTGAGACTCAATCCTTGTCCGGTGTGCAGCGATCATCCCCGTGGCTGATGCGATGGGCGTCATCGGCCAACTTGGCCAAGACAATGCTGAACTCCTCAAAAGTCAGCTGGCTGTCCTTATTTAAGTCTGTCTCTGCAAAGAGGTTCTTCAGGTAGCCGCGTTTGCTCCTGTCCTGAAATTGGGGGACAGGACATGTGTTAGCGTGCCCCCTCCCTGGGCTGTGCACTCACCGGTGGAAACCGAGCCAGCTTTATTCTTGCGTGCCCTGGGAAGGGTTTGGAGGCTGCAGGATCATTGTGACCCTCTCCTACGTTGCAGCTGGTCCCTAGTTAAAACCCTGGATGGTCAGGGTCTTGTCCCAAGCCCCTTTGGCCTCTCTGTACCCCTGCAGTGGCAGGAGGGATGAGCACAGGTGGCCCCACAGCACATGAACAAGCTGGGTCTGATCACAGAAACCCACACTGTGGACCACAGCCATGGTGGGAACGGCACCCCATTCCCCACGGAGCATCCCTGGAGGCAACCTCAGCCTCATTTCCCAGCCCCAACACCTCGAGGAGAGCATCCCTCCAGGGAGCACAGCACAGCTCCCGCGGTACTCACGCAAGCTTGCAGGAACATCGGTGCCTGCTCAGTCAGCAGCGTCTTGAAGTCGTTGAAGCTGAGGAGGTCATCCTTGTTCTCCCGGATGCAGTAACGGTGGTAGACATCCACAATGGTTTGCAAGGCCTTCTCCAGCGTGCAGTTTCCAGGGAACCGCCGAGCCTCAGGAAGGGCGGTTGTGGCACCGGTGCTTGCAGACATGGCTGAGCTCTTGAGGTACCTGTAGAAAACCCTGTGAAGAAACCTCAAAGCTACAAGAAGCAGCAAAAATCAGGCATCCCATGCCATGTTCTTGGCCCCTACCCCAAGGCCGGGTGTTCTGCACCTCCCCAACCAGCCGCAGGTCTGCACTGGGAGCCTTGCCGGGGCTGAGCAAGCCAGCAGCGCTCAGCATCCCCAGGGGCAGTCGGCAGCCCCTCGGCACTGAGTAGGTAATAAGTGGTTTTAGGAATGTTGCCATTCTACAGCATCACCCAACTGCCTCCAATTTTTAGCTTCGTCCAAAAAGCGGCTTGTTCTTACTGACCTGGAGGCATTTGTCAGGCAAGTCAGGTAAAGGCATCGGGCTGCTGTCGCGTACCTGTACGGTGCCACTGGCAGCCAGGATGACTTTAGGGCAGGGAGCACAGTTCAGGTATGGGCTCCCTTGCAACCTCTGCCTGACCTCCTCCTCCTCTCTTTGCAAATTTCCCTCTCCTCTTTGGGCTGCAAACCCTCTTCACTGCAGACACTGAGCACAGAGACCCTGCTCTTTGCCGGATGCCACCGTGCAGGTGATGCCCATGCTCTCCTTGTCAGTGGAAATAATTACGCTTCCGCTAAAGATGGCACAGAAATGCCACTAATTTATACTTGTCTTGTAGCTGAAACGAGCCTCCTACCCTGCTTCAGGTAGAAAGCATCACCCTGGAATAAAACAGGCATGGCATGAAGTGCCGTATTCAAGATCGCTTCTCCCTCATCTTATTTCCTGCAAAACCCATTGCGGTGTTACTTACCCTTGTGTCCGAGGAAGATGTGCAGAGGATGGGTCTGTTGCAGTGATCCGAGAGCCTGGGTAGCCCTTTTATACACCTCTGAGGTCCTCTTTCATCAGAGATGGTGACACACCTGCTGCAAGCAACAGCTTGAGTTACAATTTCCCGTACCTGGAAATTGCAAGGTGGGAACATCTGAACCTCTCCCCATCTCATACCTCTGCACATAGTTCCTGGTTGCACCCACCGGGCTTTAGAAATGCTGTCCTTCCACCGTCACCTCCGATAGGGCTGAGCTGCTCGTCCGCTGGGCAAAGAATGGGAAAAACACGGGATGTTCCGTCACACCTCAACGTGCGCGTAAAGGGCAAGTCCATCCTGGAAGAAGTTGCCGAAACTTTGCGAGTTTTGCAATGTGCCGAAAATTTAGTGGGCTCTCATGGCAGTGTAGAGGAAAGATGGGCTATTTCAGAGATACGGATAACTTTGTCCCTTTTAACGTGATCTCTCCGTTTTCTACAATATTAACTGGTTGAACCCTAGCAAAGATGAAGGCAGCATCCACCTCTTACTTTGTTTTCCAGGGTATTTTCCATTAATTTCTATTTTCACATCACTTGTACCAGATTTTTCCTCTTGTACCAGAAACTTTATGGAGGAAACTGGGGAGGAAAAAGGAAAAAAAAAAAAAAACCAACACAAACCTGAGGTCAGAGTCTTTACTGACTGGAGCACTAACTAGCAAGCGTTTTGCAAGAGTCACCTCTGTGCCACCCATCTTGCGTTAGCAGAACAGGTACTAGAAGAATGAAGAGATTATAAGAAGATGTAAAAATAAGACAATAGGTTCCAGGAAGAGGGTAGGAACAGAAAAACAAAAGGGTAACCATTCCTGTTCGAGGATGCTTCTTGTGTGCCCCGAGGGCAGTACCAAGAACTGTTGCATGAGTTTTATTCTGGTATCCCTGACTCATTTTATTGCTTTTTTAGTTTTCCTGCTCTACTCATTAGGGACTGTCAACAACCCAAAATTGCATCCTCATTCCTCAACCGGCCTTGCAAAGCATCGGTCGAGGCTGACTTTTGCCCTGTGCACTTGCATAGTCCCCACGCAGACAGACCCGTGGGTTCTGAATTCCCACCTTTCCCAGCCGTCTTCCCCAAAACCTGTGGGGAAGGCAGCTCACGACGCCCAGCCCTGCAAGGGGAGCGATGCCCAAAGACACCCGGGTGCCCTGGCAGGACAGAGAATAACATCTTCCTCGGGGGGACAAGGGCTGCTCCCTGATGGCAAAATTGTGGAGCCGGAGAGCGATCGCCTGTGTCATTGAGTGCAAACAACGGCGCAACAGCCCCCCGCTTCCTTTTGTGGCTCAGTTTCATATGGGACAGGCTCCTGGTTTCAGCTGATGTTGGAAAAGTCAGAGCCTCCTGAGCCTGAGGGTTTCCCACCCAGTGCACAGTCACCGGCAGATACAGGAGCTCTTTTCCACCCATGTATCTGCTCCCCAGGAGCCCGTGGTGGCTTGTAACCGTACTGTGACCTGGGGGGCTGTTGCCCCGCGCTAAGAAGAACATCCAACTTTATTGTGCAGAGCTAACGCCAGCTCTCCAGAGCCCCTTGGTCTCGTTCTTTGCTGTGTCAGGGCTTACAAGCTAAGCGCTGGTTGCTTTGTGGGTGGCAAAAGCGTTGCCCTCATCCCCAGGATGCTGCACCCCCAGCTCCGGAGCTGGGTCTTGGCAACCACCTGGGGAAGAAGTCCCCAACTGTGCTTCACCCTGATGTGTCCTGGAGCTGGTGCAAAGAGGGGCCGGGAGAACCAGGGCTGAGGATGCTTTTGTGCAGCCACGGGCTCCTGCCCAGGAAACCCCCCAATGTGATGGGGTGCTATGCACCCTGATGTCTGCTGGGGCCAACCACCCTGTGGAGGGAACCCACTGAGCTTTGGGAAGGCAGTGGGAGTGTGCCAGGGTCTGACATGTTTCAGGACAGGGAGCCCACGCAGCCTGTGCTGCTCACTTGGGACCTGGCAGCGCTTGTCCTGGCTCCCTGCTCCATAGGGACCAGAGTCCTCCCATCCCACCTTCCCCTTCCCATCACTTCTGCAGTTCAATCTGCATTTAACCCCCCACAGCCAGAGGCTGGGTGCACATTGCATTGTCCCTGGAGACAACAGGACATGTAACGCAGATGCACTTGGTGCTTGAAGAAAGAAATTTTATTTCAATGCAATAGGCAGAAGCAGATGACAACGCTTTGGTTACAGGTTTGTCTGTGCTTGCGGACAAACAGAAGGGATGATGCTGCTGGAAGAGCACAATCCCGTGTGCATGGTGACCCTGGGAAGCGCTTCACTTGCGGGGACCGTGGCCATGGTCGTGGCCGTGGTCATGGCCGTGGTCATGACCGTGACCAGAATCTGGATCCCGGCCATGGCCCTCATGATGTTGGTGGGACCTATTGTGGGCATCAATGGCTACAAGATTCAGCGTGGTCAGGAACTCGGTGAACTTCAGGCGACCATCACGGTTGTGATCTGCTTTGATGAAGAGCTTGCTTATGTAGTCATTGATAGACATGTTAGGCTGCAGCAAGAGAAACATGAAAAAGAGTCAGCCTAAAGCGCAGCAGGGTTCAGTGTCACCTTGCCAGCCTGCAGCTACAGCATGAGGCTTGCCTGGCACAGACTGCATGATTTCAGGAAAACCCTAGAAAAATCCTCTCTTCCCGTTGGGAGGCTGACAGCCACCCCGTGCCCCAAGGAGGCCACCACTCCTGCAAGCTCTCACCAGCCTGAGGAGGGCTGGGCCACGCTCAGTGCTTACCGGTACAGTGTTGCGGAGGAAAGGCTGGGCAGTCTCCTCCAGCAGCTTTGAAAACTCTGACTTGCTCAGGAAGTCATCTCTGGGGTACTTTATGGAGTATTGGTGGTAGATGTTGATGGTGCACTCCAAGGCGAGCTCCAGATCGGTTTTCATCTTGCTAGAAAGGAACAGGCAGCAAAACAGTAAACCTCATCGGAGGAGAAGGACTGTCCTCTCCTCCGGGAGCCCCAGCCAGGCTCCGGCTACCCAGGGGGGTCAGGCTCATCCCAGTCGTGCTTCCAGCAGCACGAAGCCTGAAGCCACCGTTCGGCAAGGACCTACTTACCTACGAGCAGTGCCGGGGCTGACTTCTGTGGACGGCGGTGCACGGGAGGAGAGGAGCGGGCAGGAGGACTGACGGCACGATGGAGGTGAGGTCTCTTTTATACTCTCCCTGAGCTACAATTTGTGACACCCTCAAATTTTCTTTGGGGCTATAACCCCAGGAATTATGCAAGGCTACGTAGCACGCCCAGACAGTGATTTCTTGCCTGGTTCCGGGAACTGGCTGCTCCCGCTGTTAATGAGGGAGGGGACGCACCAAGCTCGTTAGGGCAAAACAAGGAAACACCAACAGAGACATTTGCAGGGAGCCAGCATCGCAGGTCAGTGACGGTGCAGGGGCTTTCCCAGGAGCCGGGATGTTCCTGCAGAGTTTGGGAGTCTTTGCAGAGATGATGGAAGACGAATTTTTCCAGATCGCATGAAAGGTGCTGGGTGAGGGTCTCCAGTGGGATGGTGCTGGTTTTTCCCAATGGGGGATGTGGTTCATCACTCCTGTATCCGCCCTGACGCCGTTGAATTTGGCTGGAGGTGTGGTGTCTGCCCCCAGTATGCTGCTGCATGGGTGCTAGGGGATGGCCAGCGCATCCCACCCCCCAGTTACCTCTCCAAAATCATGAGCAGCATTCTTCCTGAATGATTTATTAACAGTTAGCCAGGGAGCCAAGACAGACATAACAATTCCAGGCATGTCAGTGTGCCGGAAACCTACCAGCCAGTCTTAGGAGGTGGCATTTCCCAGCAGCTGTAATTGCTGCTGGATGATAACCGAGTGCATTGGCAATTGCTGCCTATTCCTAGGGGGGAATGCTGGGGGGATGCTGCCACGTGTGGGAGACCCCATGGTGTTCCCAGTGCCTGGCACGGGTTGCTAAACCTTGTGTGTCTTGGGGGAAAGAGAGTCTGGGGGGGCTGGTGAGGAGCCTGTGCCCGAGGATGCCCAAGCCCTTCACCCCAAGTCCGTGCTTGGTGGGATTGGCACAGCAAAAGGCTCGTGATAGCTGTCAAGGGAGATGGGAGGGACAGCGGTGGTGAAACATCTCCTAAACCAGGAGCTTGAGGAACTGGTGCCAGAAAAAGTCTGAATTGCAAAAGAGTGAAACAAAGGGACAGGTTGTATGATGGAGGGAGATGGGTGCGTCCTCCCCGGGAAGGGGAGCCACGCAGGGCTGAGCAGTGGGATGCGGGTGCATCGTCAGCGAGACGTGATGGGATGTGCGTGGGGAGCTGCGAAGGGATGTGCCTGTGCCACGTGGGGAGGTGGGAGGAAACACGCGTGTGCCGTGGGCAGGTAAGAAGGGACAGGCATGCACCGTGGGTCCTCACGCTGCCATTTGCTGCCCAACCTACCATGGAAGCCACATGCCCTGCCTTGGGGCCCCGTTGCCGTGCCACGACAGCCCACGGTCCGGCGCAAGAGCTGCCGTGGGGTGTTAGTATCTGCTCCGTGGGTGAGTGCAGCCGTGGGGCTGGGAGTGTTGGTGCCACAGGGATGGAACCAGTACAGCCCTGAGGGCATGGTGGTGACAGGGGTGTGGAGGAAGGCTGGGATGCCGGTCAACAGCATCATGCCAGCTACAAATATTCACAGAGAAGGTATAAAAAGGGACAAGGTCTTGTAGGGGAGTCCCTTTCCCCCGCCTCTGGGATGCAAGTGCGGTGCGGCCACGTTCTCAGGTGTTTCACTGAGCCCAGAAGGATGGATACTTCCCCCATCCCTGAATATTGATTCTCGGGTAAATGCTGGATCTTAGAAGCTGAGGTTCACTGAACAACCCCTACACCCTCCATTTGAGGGAACAGGGGGATGAACTTGAACCCCAGTCTCCTGGCAAACAAGGCCTTGCAAAGCCGAGGGTGCAGTGCCGGGGTGCGAGTCCTGGGCAGAAGGATGGGCAGAGCATCGCCAGCACCCAACAGGATCCGTCTGCAGGGACACGAGCGCTGGGTAGAGCCCCTTGCCGAGTCCCTCCCACCCACCCCCAGCAAGAGAAAAACCAGTGCCATCCGTGAGGTTTTAATTTAAGGTTCAAAAATGACCAGAAACACAACAACAAAACTTTTAATATAGGAAATGACAAAAAAGTTTACAAAATATCTACGCTTTGCATCCCTTCAGTGCGTCACTGTAGATCACGGCCAAGGCACCCAGGAAGGCGACAGACTCCTGGAAAGTCACTTCTTCGTCTCTGTTATGGACCAGGTCCAGTCCACGCCACGGCTGTGGGGAGCTCAGCGAGTGGCCAGGAGCTGGTCCAACCTTTGGGCAGGGAGTGGGGAGCACCCGGGGATCATCGTTCCCTCTCCACCCCGGGGGATGCTCTGCAACCCTCTAGCTTACCCTGGTACCAGCAGGGCAGGAGGGGGTAAAGCCCCTCCGGACCCAGCCCAGTGCAGCCCCCAGGGTCCGGTCCTGAGCAGGCAGGAGGCTGCCCCGCATCCCCACTTTCATGTCACTTCGGGGTGTTGCATCAGCTGGGGCCGGTGGCTCACGGGGCACAGCCCAAATGTGGCTCCCAGCCACCTCCGGACGCAGCCCCAGGGCTCGTGGAGGGGGTATCTTGGGGGGACCAAAGCCGGGGCTGGTCAAAGGGAAGCCTTCGTGGCATCGCCCACTCTCTGGTGTCTCTGGGAGCAGCCCTGAGCCGACTGATGAAGGTCTGGCTCCCAACAGGGTGGATGCAGGGACATCCACATCTGGAAGGGGCACGCCGAACATCTGGAGCCTGGCACGCCAGCCCAGGTTGGCTGCAGCTGTTCGGTGAGCGAGGAAAAGGGGATCAGAGGGAGGAAAGGGAGACTTACGGACGTGAGCAGGGCAGGCTCCAGTGCGGGGAAGGGAGGGCTGTGGCTGCACAGCTCCTCGCATCTATAGCCGTGGGCTGAGTCTTCCCATGCCGGCAGCCCGGGGGGGCTGGCTGGGTGCGTGGGGCAAGTCACTCCTCTACACGCCATAACCCCACCCCAAACAGGAACGCAACTGAAACGCTGCTCCCCAAGGATTTGCTTGGGGTGGGGAAGGGACAAGGGTCCTGGGCGACTTCCCAACGTGGTAGGTCCTGCCCCACGGGGCAGCAGGTGGCGGGGGAGAGATGCTGACCCTGTGCGAGCTTAATAATTACGGCTAAAAAAAGAGTTGTTCACCCATTGCTGTTGTCATGGTGTCGGTCGGAGGCGTTAATCCCTCTGAAAACTCCTGCTTTGCCTTGCACGGCCACGAAGCAGTTATCGGGGCTGCAGGGCAGGGTGCTGTCGGGCAGAGGCTGCCGCTGACTCACGCCAACGTGGCCGGCGGGGATCAGTCCCGTGGGTGATTTACGAGGGCTCAGGGAATGCGGTGCCCACGCTGCGACAGAGCAAACTCCAGCTCGGAAGCACCCTTGCTCTCATTCATCAACCTGTATCCGCAACGCGCCTGTGGAAGGGAAACGGGGCAAGAAACCCCCATCGCAAAGCACGCGGAGGACTTTGTTTAAAACAACCTTTATTTGAAAGAGCATCAGGAGGACAGCGGGAGAGTGGTGGGGGCAGCGATGCAGCCCGGGGCCGGTGATCACTTCTTGCGTGGCATCTTGTCGGGGTAGTCCTGGAAGAAGTCGTTGCACATCATGGCCATGCAGGCCAGGAAGGTCACGTACTCTTGGAAATCCACCTCGCTGTCACTGTTGCTGTCCAGATGGTTCATGAGCTGCTGTAAGCTGGCCTCGCTGGTTTGTCTCTGCTCAGGGGCAAGACGGGGAGGGGTTAAAATGGGGTTTTGCATCAAGGGCCACAGCCCCGAGTCCCAGCATCGCCCACGGGACGTGGCACCCCCTGCCCCACACTTACACTGAAGCTGGGCAGCTCCTTCATGAGCAGCTCCTTGAGCTCTGCCTTGCTGAGCTTGTACTTGTCCCCCTCCTTCCCCGAGTGCTTGTGGAAGGTGCTGACCATCACAGCCAGCGCCTGCTCCAAGGGAGATGCCATGGGGGATGCCAGCGAGCCTGGAGGCACCAACAGCACAAGTGGGTGAGAGCAGAGTTCGACACCCCCACGCCAGTGGTCCGACGGCCTCCCCCAGCCCGTGCCGGCAGCTCCGGTGCCCCGCTCCCGGGCATGCACCGGGATGCATCACCGTTTCCTCCCTAATTTCACCCTCCTGCTAGCATTCAAGCTGGGCGTTGCTGTCTGGTACCGGTGCTGAGCAATCTCCAAAAAAAAACCATGCTGAAGGGGAGAACGTGGGGGGAGGCAGCAGCCCCCCCCGACCGAAGGGAAACGGCACGGGTGCTTTTCCAGCCCTCAGAAGTAAAATAAATTATTCGAACTTGGCTCGCTGAAGCGGAAGCCTCACGCTCAGCCCCAACCTCTGTAGGGGATAGGGCAGCTGTGCCATCAGCAACATCTGGAAGGCGTCTGGAGGGGGAGGGGGGACAGAAT